TACACTAAGCTCACATGAAAAATGCACTAGGACATAAATGGCTCAAAATCTGTTTACTAAATGTTTTCATCATCTTTCACATTACTCACAAGTTTCCAACTTTGCGTGTTATGGAACAACATAGATGGCACCACCACCATCATAAAAGTAAATCTTACATAGTGCTAGAAACTATTTAACCCATTCAGGTGATGTCCTATCAAGTCAGGGCAAAAATCGAAGATGCCAGATGCCAGGGGGTGTTTGGGGTGTGGTTCTGAAAAAAGCTTGTTGGCAAATGAAGCTACAACTGGTATTTGTTGGCAAATTCCTAGAAATTTCTGAGTGATATATATATATTTTGTTGATTGATGAATATGGAAAGCAAGCAGGTCATGGCACATTGTGTTGATTGAGTAACATGACTAATAAATAAATACAATATTAAGATATGACTAATTTTCAATGACCAAACCCATTAACCAGGCCCTTTTGTCACGAAATTTAAAACATTACACCTCCCTTCGATGCTGCTTTCGTGACAATCCAATGATGATGCCCAATGGTGTTAAGGGTTCATTTCCCATTGGCTAGGATAAAGTTCCTGAACCCAGGATAGTAGCCAAGGCACAGAGCAGTGTATGTAATTGCACATTGGCCTCTCTAAATTTTACCCGAAAAATTTCCTTCTTATTGTGCCTTTTTGAAACTGCACACAAACAAAACTTCCTGAAAAAGTTGCATATGCATTTAATTTATCTCTTCTTAATATAACTAAAATAATAACAGCTACAGCAATACAAGAACACAATTATGAAGTAAATAATGAACTACTCAGACATTGGGAAATATCTCAGATCTTAAAATAACTACTGTTGATTTTTCTTTACTTCTAGAATAAATAATATGTAAATATGAGGAATTTTCTCATATATGTCATAAACAATGTTACAACCATTATACACTTCAGTGTAAAGTATCTTTAAACCACTGCTCACTGGGAAATATATATATTTTTTTACATATAATACATATTGGAAGATTCGTATGTGCAGACAGACCTCTCTTGACATCACAATTTAGAGGAAAAATTAATAAAATGTAAACCCATTCTGAGAATCATAAGGTTCTCTCAAAGACCTGATCACTTTTGTTCTAATCCACAGCTGGATAATCTATTGATTGCATGTATCACTGGAGCAAACACACACACAGACACGGATATGACGACACATAAAGAATGAACCACAGACAAGTAAATGGATGTGCTTCTGCATATGCTTTCTAAGAGTGAGTGAAATTTAGATTTTTTAAGGTACTTTTGCATAAGCAAAAGTTGTACCAAGTAACTTCAACTCCAGGTCATGTAAAACATTAACATTCAATTCTAACTATCATTACACTATACTAGCACTTACCAGTAGGTGGGCCATGGATACATCTAAAAGATTTAAAATGTTAAAATTCGAAACAACAGGCCTTCACACATTTTAGTTCTCAATTTTTTTTTTTCGTCAATATAAAACAATAGCACTCGGAAAAACCTTCCTTGTCCTTAATGCTTTTTGGTAATTACTGGCAGGATGCTCAATTTGCTTATTTAGTCTGGTTTCAGTCCTCAATCAGTCAGTATATCAGAAAATGGTTTTTGATTTCTTGGTTCTACACACATGATTGTTGTTATATACAAATATTTTTCAGAGGTATCTATCTACACATGTTACACAGTGAGACTTTTTTTTAAGCTACTGCAAAACCAAGTAATGGGATACATATCCTAAATCTGAATAGGCCTGATCTTTACATTTAATATTTGTGGATACAAAGATATCTGTTACATTTGAGTATGCAATGATAATAATGATAAAAATAAAATACAGGTTTGAACTGGAAAATACATCCAACATATGAACCCAAAATAAAAAGGAAGGGAGCTATCTATCTACTGCAATAATAATCATTACATTCTAGGGCTTTTGGAATAAGCTTCTGTCTGCAGAGACAAGCAGTCTCTACAATAAAATATATCTACAATGGTAGATCTTCATACTTTATCTAAATTTATGTTCATTTTCATGTTTTAAGTGACAATGAAAAAAAAATTACATTCTACTGGACAAGGTTTTGATAATCTAGTTTGGAGTATAACTATCCCAGCACATGTGATCTCTTTCTCTCTCAAGGCCTATAGTGTACTGGAAATTCATTCCAGTTTAAGATTTATGTAATAATAACCTGGTTATCAAATGTTCTCTCCATTTCTTTTTGATGAGGACTATGAAACATTAGTAAAATTAGTAAAAATAGAAAGTGTGATGATGCATGACCTTATTTAATAATTTAGCTAGAAGAGTATAAAATGAATAAGGTAACGGATACCCTTGCTGCCCTGTATAGCTGAACATTTTGAGTATTTCTAAAATGGGCACCCTGCATTGGTCCATGTAATCCACAGTTGCTGAATGTATCTTTAGTAAAAATGCCTGTGCATACATTGAATGCAAAACAAAGAGATGATTTACTCTTGCCCTCTGTATATTACTGCATTACTACACTATCTAAAGGAGGGTTTTCTAACAGTTTTTGCTATTCTATTGAAGGTTATATTGCTTCTACAAGTACAACTGAGTATGTAAATAAGGTAGTTGATGGCATACTGAAAAACAGCATTACCATAACAAGTGATACTGTACTTATCAAATTACATGAATTTTATATTCTACAACCAGGTCTATTATATGATGATATGCAAACAAATACACTACTTATACAACTTCCTGTATTTTGTAAGTTTTCTGACATCATGAAGAAACTAATCAAGAAATGGAGGTTCAATTCCAAACATTTCATTTTCTTATCAAGGAAATGACAATACTTTAATACAACGCACATAAGACAACCTTTCCTTTTCTGACTCTTTGGGTAATACATTCAGATTAATTAATATAATTAATCAGGTTCCTGACCAGAGTTCAATGATATGCCTGCATAATCATTTCTTTAATGACTATTGTTCATTTTATCTTTTTTATTTTTTTTTTTTTATTTTCATACAAAATTTTAGTAAATATAAGGAATGATATATGGACATATCTGACTTGTAAATTTCCATTCCAGTGCTGGCTATTGTGATAGACAGTATATATAACCATAAGACAAACATATCTAAAGTGCCAGGTCAGACATGAATTGATACTTAAATATATGTCACAAAATTACAAATATATACATATAATTCTAAATTTGTGCATTGCTGAAATGCAATAATGATCTTAAAATTTAAATACAGATATGCAAAATTATCTTCTTGCCTAACTGCACCTGCAAGTGCCAGTTAACAATAGCTCATAGATATACAGGGTGTTTACAATAGATGGCACCATTATGCAAAGCAAAATGAAATTCCAATAAACACCATTCAGTATATAAAATGAGCAAAAACATATACTACAAAATCTTATCTTCCAGGACATTTTGAAACTAAGACTGCTTTCAAATTCTAAAACAATGAAAATGCCAATGAGAACGATCAGAAAATAGTTCTCTTACATCTTGCAGCTCGGAAAAATAATCACATCAACTTTATTCATAAATCATACAACACTGACTGGGGGTATAATTAACTAACCTTAATATCTTGATTTTTCTTTACATCATCAATGTGTAATCAACATATCCGAGACTAAGAATATAAATCTCAAAAAGTTACCTGTATATGAAAGGACTGATAATCTGATAGGCAAAAGAGCAAGCTTATATATGATCATATATAAAAATAACAAAAAAGTACTTACAATCATTATCATCACAACATATACAACATACTAACTGTGAGGAGAAATCTGGAATAAAACACAGCTTTTGCAAAGCATACCATTAATCAGATTTCAGTGTTTATACACTTTTGAGTAATTTCCTTCACTGTCCTTAATAATATTTTCATAATTATAACTAAATATTTTCCACTGATTATAGTTTAAAATTATGAGAAAATCCTTATCACCGGTCAGTTCTCACTTTTCTTGCATGGGGGGCATTTCTGGCAGCAATACGAGCAGAACCTGTGTGTAATGACCTGCAAACAATGACAAAAGATAATTAGTGGTTGTTAACAATGTTGAAACGAACACAAAACTCTATATCCAATATCAGAGTAAAACAAGCTTACCTTAGCAGAGGAGGTATCTGCTTCTGACTGGATAAAATTGACTCAATAATTCCTTCCAGGAGCACATATACAAGTCTTTTGTTGAGTGCAGTCCACTGGACAGTATCATATACACCAAGGACACCACGTGTAGTTGTCTGACTTCCTAAAATTGCCTTCAGTTCATCTAACACAAAGAAAAAAAGAAAAAAATATATCAATAGGATTTCTTCAATTACCTACAGAAATAGAGAAACATATCCCTGTCCAATCATAGTTAACCCACTAACGACGGGTGTCCCACATATGAGACACCTGAAAAAAAAAAGAAACATTGCCGGGCATCCTGCCAGTGTGACGCTGTATTGGGGCTTGCGCTCCGATGCAGCAGTGAGCAGAATCCGGGCCAGCCCTGCGTGCTGATTTTGTAGCCGGCCAGAATAATTTATTTTCGGCTTCAAAATATACTGGCGTTAATGGGTTAATGGAATGTGGCCACATCCAATTATAATCAATAGAAAACTAAATTACATTCTCTAATGTATAACTAGAATAAAAAATAGGCTAGGCTTACCAAATTAACCATCCCAACTACAAACAACAAATCTGCTTGTAAATTTATAGAGAAAATAGTATACTAAGACATATTAGCAGATCTTACTTATAGTATAAAAGTCAGATAATGGTTAATGGTTGAAACAAATAAATGTGTTAGACATCTAAGGTCATATAGCACTATGGTAAAGTATTGTGGTGAAAAGGGTAAATGAGTTAACAATTAGTATAAAGAGTGTTAAATGATGTAAATCGGGGATTAATAAAGGGAAGGATTTTGGGCATTGGGCGACTGGATGGAGTGGGGTGTATCAGTTGTTGGGGAAGCTATAGTAGCAATGCTTTAAAAAAAACTGGTAAAAGAGCTGTTATGAAATAATCAACAGGTAATACCTGTAGAAATGGCTGTTGGAAAAGTAGGGACTAGGAATAGAGGGATTGGAGGTGGGCAATGGAGTGGAACATTTTCTTGGCTCATGTTTAGGAATTTTTGGATGTCTCCAAGAGTTCCTGGGGGGGATTTGGGTAGGGTGGTCTGAGAAACAAAGGATCTCTTGCAAGGAAGAGAATAGGATATAGATGTTTGAGGAGCAGAGGAAAAGGAGGGTGTAGGAGAGTGTGTGGAAGGTGAAGATAGATTAGAACATTTGTGTTGTCTGGTGCGATGTGTAAAGTGAGGGGGAGGAAGGATAGGTATTGGAAAAGTAGTAGAGTTGTGGAAAGGTATGAATGAGAACGAATATCTTCACAATACATGAGATGTATTTTACTGGTTTCAATTATATCTTCGTTAGAAATACATGTATTTCTGAAAAAGATATAATCAAAATCGGTTAAATACATCTCTTGTATTGTGAAGATATTCGTTCTCATTCATACCTTTCCACATTTGTCAACATGAATACAGATCAAAGTAGTAGAGATTGGAGTACCTGGATTCAGAATGGAAAAGGGATTTGACGGGGGATAGGGAGAATAGAGGCAGGATGATTCAGGGTAGTGGGAAGAGATAATGGGGGAAATGCAGAAATATCTTGTGGAGATGGGGTGGAGGGGTGCAGAGCGAAGGAATGTTTTGGAATAGGTAGAGAGAGAAAAGCCTCATCATCACACTTCCTGTCTAGCCACACATAGCGTGAGGCCTAGTTTGAATCTGAGAACTGCTACCTCACATTCGGGCTTATAGGCAGGGCAGCTCTTATAAAATATGTAATGGGAGTCACCATATGTACGTGACTGAGAAGGGCAATTTAAATGGTCATGCCCAGGTTGGGCACATAGAGAGCAGTGGGCTGTGGAGTGACAATGTTTGGCTGGGTGGCCAAAATACCAACATTTCTGACAATGACGAGGAAGGGGTTGATATGGTTGGACATGGTAGGACAATCCACCAATATAAACTTCATTGGGGAGATCATGTCTAAGAAGCTAATCTTGGCAATATTGACATGGGACTTATGCTGGCCTCTGGGAGTAGTAGTGTAGCACTGTACTGCTACTGCATCATAATCAGCAAGGCAGGTAAGGAGGTAATTTTTACAATCTGACCAGTTCTTGTCATATATGTGACAATCAGTCTGGGGGATAGAAACAGTTCCAGTACAAGTATTAAGAGAGAGGTGAAGTTCGGCAGGAATGGGTTTGCTAGTAAGGTGTGTTAGGGTAGATAGTGTACGAGCTTGGGATTCTGATGGAGCTGTGACAAGGCATGAACAATTAGAGCAACTGTGAAAAGTAACTTTGCCTACATGTTTTTGGATGCACTGTTGAAAGAGAAGGGTATTTTCAGAGTAGGGGGCTGTGGGAGGAATCACAAAGAATTGCAGAGGTAGAGGCTGTAGAAGAACAAGAGCAGGAGGAAGATGAGGTGGTGTAGCGTGGAGTAGTTCTGTCGGGGGAAGGACAATATGGATGAATAGCAGTAAAAAGGGAAGAGAGGGACCCCAGCCACTGAAGAAGACTGTGCAGTAGCAGATGGAGAAGAGAAAGCTGGGAGAGAGGAAGGGGTGCATTCTTGAGGTTGAGATGTCAGTAAATATCGAGAAGGGGGTATTATAATCAATGATAGGAGTCATGGTCAAAGGAGGGGCAGGGGTTGAAAAATCATCAAAATTGAAATCAGATAGGCTAAGAAAAGACCAAGCAAAATTTGTTGAGGTGAGAGCTGAAGTCTCCAGTCTCCATCTCCTAAGGACGAGCAAGGTATTGAGAGGAAAAGTCAGATAAGAGTCTGTTTTTACAATATAATATACATGAAATCCCTGTTTAGTTCATACATATTAACACCAAAATTATTTTTTTCACAAAAAATATAATGAGACAATCTAAGCAGCTGAAAAAAATTTGCTTGAGGGGCAGGCAACATACAAAAAAACACCAGGCACAGAGGACAAATCCAGCCATGAAAGGCATTTAAGAAAAGGCTCATTGCATAAGAAAGCTTTGTCCAGATCCAGAAGCAGCTCTTCCCAATGGGAAGATTTTAGATAGGTACACAAATAAAACTGGGATTGTGACTCAAAAAGTGTAGCTGTGTTCCTCTTCACACTCATCCTTTATCCTCCAATTCATAGGATGAGATTATTTCTCTACAGTGGGCCATGGTTATGGAAGCATTGGCTGAATTATGGGGAGACATGAAGAAATTGGAGGTGAGAAGCTAGGGCATTGGCGCTGCCAGTGGCATCAGCTCTGTGCGTAACCTTGAGGATGATGTAAATATATACCCAACAGAAACGTTTGACTGCAACTCAATTGCAGGGTTTTCCAGTCTTTGATCAGTTCAGCACCCTGATTCTAGTGATGATATGATAATCAGG